TAACATTCTTGTACTACATGTAACCCAGACAAGCACTAGTAGCACAGACAGAATAAAAGCAATGTGATTAAATTCTAAGGAATATAGATACAATTGAAATTCATCGCAGCTCAATGCTGCCGAGAATACCTGTATCGAGTAACACAGAGTGAGTTATTCTTGTCCTCGGGGAAAGTGTGCTATACCAAGACTTGTTCCGCCTGACTGACAACTGTGCATTGGATTGTTACGATTTGATCTCTCTCTAGTGTTTCTTATATCAAAAATGGGAATGCATAAAGGATAGATAATTGAAGAAACATACACAAGCCTATAAAAAAATTAAAATAGTCTTTGAAAAGGCAAAAATTTAAAACTATAAAAGTGTGGCAACAGGTGGATTCGAACCCCCGACTTTAAAAATAAAGTACCCACGATATAAAAAAAGTCAGCGCAGCGCATATATCAAATGAGCTATTGTGACTACAAGATTGAACGGTATAAATTTGAAGCAGATTGTCAAAATCAAGTTTACTTATTTTTTGTAGGTTTTTTGTGAATTTCGACCCTAGGGCAGGGTGCCCCTAAAAAAATCCTATCTTAAATTATTCCTTACATCCCAACCTATCAAATTATCACAATTTTATTTAGGGGCAGGCCTGCCCTGAAGGACTTCTAGGCCAAAATTTATGCAAAAATCAACGCTTTAACGGACAAAATGGTGTTTCGGCCAACTTTGGAGGTTTATTCTGAAGTTGTAAATAATAAATTTTAGTTGTAAAATTCAAATTTGAAAAATTTAGACATATATACGGTAGAAAACAACAAATAAACATTGATTTTTAAATGTCACTTTTTCCGGGAAATTGTTCTCTCCTATAGGTCAATTCTTTTGTAATAGTGAATACATCCTTTTTCTCATTTTTATCTTATCAAGAACCACTGGACCATAACAACGAAAATTAACACAGAATATTTTTGGTAAAGTTTTGTTCAAATGAAGGGTCACATCCTCTTTTAACGGATACATGTAGAAAAAATTAGATGGGGTGCAGGCGCAGATCAAGGAATTTTTTTCCACGGAGGGGGGGGGGGAGGGGAGGGGATCCCAATTAAAAAATATTTCAACCCAGAAATTTCTTGACGAGCCAAAAAAAAAACTCTTTTCCCAAACGTGAAAAACCTATTTCGTGTGTGTGTTTGTGTGTGTGTATGGGGGAGGGGGGGGGGGGTCGTTGACTTTTAAAGCTTCATACCTAAGACTTTTCATACCATTTTAACACAGATCCGCGTTTTCGAGGAAGGGTCCGTGTTTTTTAATGGGGGGGGGGGGGCATGGTCAGTTTTACTTGTTAGCTCACCTGAGCTGAAAGCTCAAGTGAGCTTTTCTGATCACCCGTTGTCCGTCGTCCGTCCGTCTGTCTGTCCGTCCGTCCGTCTGTAAACTTTTCACATTTTCAACTTCTTCTCAAGAACCACTGGGCCAATTTTACCCAAACTTGGCACAAAGTATCCTTGGGGGAAGGGGAGTTTAAATTTTTAAAATAAAGGACCAAGTCCCCTTACAAGGGGAGATAATCAAGAAAAGACAAAAATAGAGTAGGGTCATTAAAAAATCTTCTTCTCAAGAACCACTGGGCCAAAAAAGCTGAAACTTACGTGGAAGCATCCTGGGATAGTGAAAATTCTAAATTGTTAAAGTCATGACCCCAGGGGGTAGGGCGGGGCCACAATAGGGAATCCAAGTTTTACATTGAAATATATAGGAAAAATCTTTAAAAATCTTCTTCTCAAGAACCACTGAGCCAGAAAAGCTGAACCTTATGTGGAAGCATCCTGGGGTAGTGTAGATTCTAAATTGTTCAAATCATGACCCCCGGGGGTAGGGCGAGGCCACAATAGGGAATACAAGTTTTACATTGAAATATATAGGAAAAATCTTTAAAAATCTTCTTCTCAAGAACCACTGAGCCAGAAAAGCTGAAACTTATGTGGAAGCATCCTGGGGTAGTGTAGACTCTAAATTGTTCAAATCATGACCCCGGGGATAGGGCGGGGCCACAATAGGGGGAATCTCAAGTTTAACATTGAAATATATAGGAAAAATCTTTAAAAATCTTCTTCTCAAGAACCACTGAGCCAGAAAAGCTGAACCTTATGTGGAAGCATCCTGGGGTAGTGTAGATTCTAAATTGTTCAAATCATGACCCCCGGGGGTAGGGCGAGGCCACAATAGGGAATACAAGTTTTACATTGAAATATATAGGAAAAATCTTTAAAAATCTTCTTCTCAAGAACCACTGAGCCAGAAAAGCTGAAACTTATGTGGAAGCATCCTGGGGTAGTGTAGATTCTAAATTGTTCAAATCATGACCCCCGGGGGTAGGGCGTGGCCACAATAGGAAATACAAGTTTTACATTGAAATATATAGGAAAAATCTTTAAAAATCTTCTTCTCAAGAACCACTGAGCCAGAAAAGCTGAACCTTATGTGGAAGCATCCTGGGGTAGTGTAGATTCTAAATTGTTCAAATCATGACCCCCGGGGGTAGGGCGAGGCCACAATAGGGAATACAAGTTTTACATTGAAATATATAGGAAAAATCTTTAAAAATCTTCTTCTCAAGAACCACTGAGCCAGAAAAGCTGAAACTTATGTGGAAGCATCCTGGGGTAGTGTAGATTCTAAATTGTTCAAATCATGACCCCGGGGATAGGGCGGGGCCACAATAGGGGGAATCTCAAGTTTAACATTGAAATATATAGGAAAAATCTTTAAAAATCTTCTCAAAAACCACTGGACCAGAAAAACTGAAATTTATGTGGAAGCATCCTGGGGTAGTGTAGATTCTAAATTGTTAAAATCACGGCCCCTGGGGGTAGGGTGGGGCCACAATAGGTATTACAAGGGGGAAGTCTGGTAATGAACAGCATGGCCAAAGTTACTCAGGTGAGCGATATGGCCCATGGGCCTCTTGTTTAGTATATACATTTAACTGCCCCCAACCCCCTCTAGATCCGCGCATGGGGTCATTTGAAAATAGTATTCTCAAGAATCCCTGGACTAGAATGAGAAAATTTCCAACATAGCATACATTCATTTTTTTTTTTCAAATATTGATTCCAGGGAGAAGGTTTGGGCCGGAAAGAGTGTTCATAATTTAACAAAGGAATTTATATATCCTCCCAAACGAAGTGTGTGGGTTTGGGGTGGGGGTGTTTTGAGTCTTTTGGAATCACAATGTCCGTCTGCCTAGCAGTCCGTCTGTACGTGATAGTTCGCCAAGGATATTATAACTTTGTTATGAAGAAACTGGAAGGTCATACTTGGTACAAAGATTACTAATGATCCGAAGGTGTGTCATGGTTTTGATCCAACATCATTCCAGCAAGTTCAAGGTCATTGGAAAAAAATAGCAAGTATCATACTTGATACAGAAATTGCTTATGACAAAATTAAAGGGTTTGACATGACTTTCATCCAAGGTCATTCCTGTAAGTTCAAGGTCACTGAGAGAAAACTGTAAGATTACTGTATGTGTTATAACTTTTGAAGCTCATACTTGGAACAAAGATTGCTTATGATCCACCGGTTTGAGATAACATAGTACTAGACTGGCAGAAGAAGTGGCAAAATTCGTGCCTGGATTATAAATTTATAAGGGGTGGGAGGAACACAAGAAACTTTTTCTCAGATTGCTTGAGATGGGTTTTCCTGACCTTGAACAAAGGTTTTTTCGGCAAGTTCAAGGTCACTGGCAGATAAATATTATTTTTTTTCCACATACTATAACTTTGTTATATAAAATCACTGGAAGCTTTTACTTGATACAGAGATTGCTTATGATCCAAGAATGTGTTTTGACCTTGATCCAAGGTCTTTCTGGCAAGCTCAAGGTCACTGACAGAAAAGTGCAATATTCTTTTTCAGGTATATCTTTGTCATTGGGTATCACTGGAAGCTCATAATTTGTTCAAAGGTTGTTTTTGACCTTAACATAGGTCATTTAGGCAAGTTCAAGGTCACTGATATAATAAGTGTAAAATTCAAAAAGGTCTAGTCGCCCAAGTGGCGCAGTGGTAAGAGTGTCTGCTCTAGAGTCGTGGATTATGGAGTTGATCCTTACGTCGCAGGTTCGAATCCCACTGTGGGACGCAGAGACTGATCCTTCGGATGAGACCGTACAAACTGAGGTCCCGTCTGGCAGTAGGTGCTGGCACGAGAAAGATCCCTCACTGCTAAATGGCCATGTGTGCCGAGTATAGGTCAAAATTTGCAGATCTCCATCGGCAAATGGTGGCGTCTCCATATGATTGAAAAATTCTCGAAAGGGACGTTAAACAACATACAAACAAATAAACAAAAAGGTCTATACTTTTGTAATAGAAAAAACTGCATGCATTTGCATTTCACTGAAAAGATGATAAATATATCATCCAGAGTGTGTAATGGCCTTGACTTAAATTCGAGGTCACTTAGAATATGATGTTTTGGATGAATAGTCTGAAAGTATACGTGACTGTGATTTTTTTTTTTATGTCGGTGACATAAAGATGGTGTTTGCTCTTAACCAGCTGCAGAATGTGTCATGGCTTGACGCAAAGTTATTTGGACAGTTCAAGTTCACTGACAGGGGAATTTTACATTCCTTTACTGTCTTTCTACTGTTGAAACATTGAAAGTTGATGCCCCTTACAGGATTGTTTATAACCTTATAAAATGTTGCATGACCTTGACTCAAGGTCGCTCTGTCCTGTCCGGAGCTCCGACGGAAGACCTATTCGTTGCATTGCAACGAGCTCGGCTCTAGTTACTTGTGTATCATTTCAAGACACTTTGAAACTTTTATTTTCACTAAAGCCCCCACATGGGGTATGTGTTTTACAATTGAACAAATCAAAATGTGAACAGTTAATTAAAACACTGAGACTTATTCCCCTTAGACCGTATCGGAAAAACGTTACACTATGATTCACTTTTATTTTTAATCATCGGGTTTGAGATGCTAAAAATGTAGAAATAGTGTAAGTAAAATGTTTACATGCTGAAAGCTGTAAATGTAAGGCTAAGCTCTACGTTGACACATTTACTGAATTTTATTTCTTGGTATGTATTAAGGAATATATCTTAGAAACTATATTAAAAGATTATTGTGCGGTTATGCTCAGTAGAGTTTGCACAGGCACTATACATATATGGGTTTTGGTGCAGTCATCTGAAGTCATGGAGTGATGGAGTGAAAACTGAACAGTGGTGAAGTGTCTGCTTAACAGCTTAATGATAATGTAAATAATGGCATCTCTAGCCTCATTCTATCTCTGTTTAAAGCTAATCATGATCTTCAATGCCACATAAATTGCTGAGAACAGTCTATTCATTTCATTTGAAATAAGGCTACTATTCTGCTGCTCTAAGATGGGAATAATGATAATATAATCTTCTCTCTTGCCAGTCTTGGACAGTTGGGTTTGAAGGGGTATAAGGTCTGTTCACCCTGTCTACCTGTTCGCATGAGTCTGTTCGCTCAGGGTTCATTTGACATAATTCTCATTTACCCTGTACCCCGTTTGCCCTATTTGAATATTATACATGTATACAGGGCTCGACATTAACGCTTGTCCGCTTGTCCGGCACCAGTGAAAAAAAATACGGACAAGTGAATATTGCTGGGCACTTGTCCGATAGGACAAGTGCATTTTTATGTAAAAAGACTCTAAATATTTAAAAGAACGACTGTTAAAAGTTTACCGGTACTTTAAGACGGAAACAGTACATAAAAACCGAACTTTGATCCCGACATAGATCGCTATGTAATTGAGCGGTGCGTCGATTTACCCAAAAGGATCCAGAAGTAAATTATAAGCAACCCAAAAGGACATGAAGTAAAGGGGATATCTGGATATTCAATGAACACTTTCATACTTTATTGAAAATAAAACAGTAGTGGGGGGGGGGGGAGTGTGTGTTTAGGGTGGGGGGTCCCCCTTCCCCCACCCCCACCCCCGATACCATATGCCTAGAACAAGTCATAAAATAAAACTCATTGCTTCATTATATATCATATAGTAAGATATGGTACAATAGAAGGGGAAATATAATAATATTTTGTTATTTTCAGCTCAAATAAAACAAAGCATATCTAACCAGATTTAGTGTTTGATGTGTTATATAAGGCATTATGTTATTTCTCAAAGGAAAGTTGCAACAGTATCAATTTATGTTTTTGCCAACTTTTATGTAAATTTATAATGTAATATTCATTATTTCATTCAAATTATTAATTTTCAGTATATCACAATATATTCATTTTGAGTCCTTTTGGGTTCCTTTTGAGTCCTTTTGGGTTCCTTTTGGGTCCTTTTGGGTTCTTTTAGGTCCTTTTGGGTAAATCGACGCGCCCTAATTGAGTACACTCGATCGGGATTGAAGTTCACTAATTGCATACTACTGCAAAGGCATGGAACTGAGTTCGGATTCTGTTTTATGTTGACAGCATTTATGTTGTCAGGACAGAAAGTCTAGATAAAATATTGTTTTATGTGTTCGTTGTATTTGAAAATAACATCATGCACATGTAATGTACTTTATTTTTAGTTTTTCAGTTAACAGTATTAGATCTTTATTGAAAATTTTTCGGACAAGTGAAGCTGAAGTTCGGACAAGTAAATGTCTTGGTCACTTGTCCGAATGGACAAGTAGGAAAAAAAGTTAATGTCGAGCCCTGGTATATCAGCATTATTGTTGAATTTTAATGTCATTTCTTATTTTACTTTTGTTAATTTATAGATCTGGTAAACTTATTTCCTTTCCATCAGTATTGACTTGATTTCCGATGTGAATGTTTATCAAAACATAATAGGTTTAATTGCTGTTAATTTAGAACTGAAATTAACTAGGGAACACTTTCTCTTTTCTTCTTGTTTAAAGATTCATTTTAAATGTATGTTTTGAAAATAATTAAGGAAATTGAGACATAAGTTATGTTAAAATCATACTTGTGATTAGTCAAAGACCACAAAACTGTACAGGAGCCATAAAAAACTGGAATTTGGGTGAAAAAACTGTACACTACCTATTAAAAAACGGTACAAAGAACGGTATAAAATATTGCTTAAATTCTTCTGATAAGGCACCTTATTTCTAAACCAACAAATATATATTGTTGCAAATGTCTTATTTTAAAAGTTGTAATGCAGATTTGAATGCTTTAAAATTTCATATATTGTGTTTTATAATCACAGTGTTCTTATGAATCGATTATAAATTAAGTTAGTTTAAATGAGAGTTTGTTTGTCAGCTTTATATAGTATTAACGTGAGAGTCAGAGTCAGTGTCTCCAATTTACATCTTGTTCATATTACTGATATATACATCAGCAATGCTAACAGCAGCAAATACAATCATACATAAATTTCAGCTCATAAATATAAAATTAAACTTAAAACTATATCCTTTATTTCATCGTAATAATAGTAATAAACATCGTATATTTTATACCTACGGAGATCTGGGTCAGATTCATGTATACTAAGTCATGTATATCAACTTCAGAAGTTGGCTTAACTTTTTTCAATCAAGTTACGAAACATTAACAGTTATAATTAAGTACCCCTTTAAAAATAAAGCTACCTAAAGGGGTATCTTGTTACAGATTTAGAGCAAGATAATTATCCCAATTGGCAGTTCACACCTTCACACGCGATGGTTTGTGTACACTACACAATTATCAGAAGGTCAAGTGTCAAACACAGGTGATGTTTTCCAGTGTCTCATGAGCGAGAATGAGAGGAAAATGGCAGTATTTAGCATTTAGTGAGAAATTCAAAATACTGTACAAATTTTCATATTCCATGAATTTTGGTGTCCCGCCAGCACACGATGAATGGGCTCGAAAAAATGGTACATTTTGCATACCGCCGGTACATATCACATGTATGTAAAAGGCCTTAATTGGTGATGGGCAGTCTCTAAGCAACAGGATTATTTTTTGAAGATTCTTCTATTCTCAATTTAATATATAATATTAATATAAATTAACAAGTATCAAATCAACTATTTAACATTTTTTTTCAATTTCTTCACTTATACTGAATTTTCAAACAGAAAAAAATTAAAATTTAAACACAAAACTCATGAAATTTGATAAAATCAAAGGACCTTACGAAAATTAACTGACTACCGTAACAAATGAAGGTCAAACGGACTTTGGACAAATGAGTTTTTGGAGCAAACGGACTCTGGGCGAATGAGAATTAGGGCCAATGATGTCAAGGGCGATTGTGTTTTAGGGCAAACTAACATACATTCGTTTGGAGGAGCCTCAACCTGAGATATCTATTTTTCAGACATGCAGCAGGCATTTGATTCTGTAGTAATTTTTACCCAGTAGTATCATAATAATACTAGGTATGTTAAGCTCCAAATTTCGTGGTCATTGGAGTACAAAATGTACTTCTCCCCTAGAATCACAGACATTTATGCATGTTACACTTTCACAGAAAATTCACTGATGAACTGTTTATTACCGTAACCATTCTTTGTACAATAATTTATATACAAAACCATATCATTAATATTTTCTTTGAGCTACAAAAATGTAGCCCTCTCTGATTTTTTTAATCTGATTTTTTCTGGAGGAAAAAAAGGAGAGCTCAAGCTAGGGCTACATTATTGCAGGTAATTTTTTTATATCTCTGTAAATGGTTCATAACTGTGCTTGCTGACTGGAAAATTTTCTGGTGATTTGGAATTAGAAACCTTGCATATTTGTTCTACTATGAGGTAGAAATTTTATTACAGATTTAACAATTGATCAGACAACCACAAATTAAGACAAGGATATTACAGTGAAACTTGTCTAACCATGATGATGTGTATTCTGAAATCTTGCCTAATGCAATGTAATTTAAAAATTTAAGTCCGTTTCATGAACAGCTGATTAAATTTAATTTGTTTAAAATGTATAATCCTGAATGTGGTCAAATCTGGCCAATTTCTTCGGAACACCTGGTGTCTGGATTAGATTATTAGATGACTTTCGCTGTATTAGTGTACACAGTGCTGGGTATCGCAAATGAAAAATAGTATCACAATATATTGCAATGTTAAATTTTGTATCATAATATTACAGCAAAACTCAGTTATAGCGAAGTTCTGGGGACCTGCGAATTTACTTTGCTATATCCATAATTTGTTAAAGTATGTATAACGAATTCATTATATCAATTTTTTTCCTTCAAGCATGACTATCAAATGTATTTAGGGAAGTTTAAAATATGAAATTTATCTTTGAGTTCAAAATTTTTGGAATGAATTGAGTTTCAGATATTTATACTTACAAAATTATTATCAGGCTGAGTTCAATATTTTAAAAATTAAGTTCTTTAAAACTTCGCTATAAAAGATGTAAATTTTGTTATATTTAACTTCTAAGGGACACAAAATCAGGCCACTATAGCTGTAAATTCGCTATATCTGAGTTTGTTATATCCGTAAAATTTTACATGAAATTGTTAAGAATTTTGTCGGGTATTGCAAAAAACTTGGCCATATCTGTAAATTCGCTAATATCCATGTTCATACTAAACAAGTTTTACTGTACATTCATATTCATTTTGCTTTTTCTTCTTTTATTATATTAAGATGAAATGAAATGACAAACACAAATATTATAAAAATGGATTCTTGTTTAAGGTCGAGTTAACATCAACATTGCCTGGCCACATGGTGTGGCACAAATGGCTTCCCAATTTGGTTGTGCCACAAGAATATATAATAGTCTTGTTGCAAAAGTCACAACATACAGCTCTTACTTGAACTGGTTTCATGTAGCACCATTTCTTTTTCATCACATAAATGTTTTTTGCTGCCATTTATTAGTTGAACAATTTAAAGGCAAGTAACTTTTTCTGTTATATTTTACAGAATATCAAACTGGAACCAGTATTTCACCAAAAAAGAAAAACCCACCAAGATATATGTATTGCAGACAAACAGACAAGTGATCATTTAGAAACCACAGACAGCCCAAGGATTCCATCCTCTCTGGCTACTGATACTTGTAGAAGGAATATGAAAAGTCTTGTAAACAAGCAGTACATTCTATCAGACTGATGTGAACATGAACAGCCTCAAAGCTAGTATTCCTTTCAACTTTACTTAAACACAAGCAGTCCTTGGATGCATTAGTCATCATCTCAGGCTCTCAGCTTAATGTGAATATGAACAGTCTTGGAGTGCATCAGTCATCACAGATTACTATGAACACAAACAGCCATGGGATACAGCAGCTCTTTCTGCCTCCTTCGAACATTAACAACCTCGGAGTGCATCAGTCCAGTCAGCCTACTGTGAACATGAATAACATTGCACAGCTTAGATTTCCTTTTGTGATTTACCCTGTGAACAATCTGTGTAATATGGTGCAGGTTCCAAACAATATAGTGTTTTCATCAACAAACAATGCAAAAAATGCTGAAAATTCTATGGCAGAAGCTGGTACAAAAACTACCACCTTGTTCAATCCAAATCTCAACCACAGTGCTGACAATGTACCAAGTACCATGCCTATACACCAAAATACTGCTATTACTATCTCCAACTCAAATGTTATAGATAATACAACTGTCAATAATTTCAGCATTCTGAACAATGGTGTAACTGTTCAAAGTGCTGTTGCTCTTAATCAGATTTTAAATGTTCAGACACCTGTGGTTTTGAAACATGCTTTTAATGTTCCCAGTGCAGTGGCTCCACATTCAGTGGTACCTGAAAGTGTTGTAAATCTGGCTGTAACCAAAAAGTGTTTCAAGAAAAAATTGACACCAATTAGGCCTGCACCCATGAAAAATTCAACAACAGACAATTGCAGACCAACACATGGCACAGAGTCTCAGAACAAAACATTGCCTGTGAACACTTCAAAAACATTAGTACCAGCAGATGTGGAGGTTACAGAGCAAACCTTTTCGGTCATTTTTCAACCAGTCCAGGAGCAGGATTCACCTCCAGAATCAGAAAAAGTTCAAGTGAAAATGGAAGAAAATCCAGTGTCAAATGAACTCCAGTCTTCCACCAGTATAGGAAAAGATCAAAGGGTTGAAAATAGTCTAGAGGCATTATATGTAAGTATCTAAAAAAAAGTGAGGAAACAAGTGTCTATGCTTATAATCTAAATTATCTAGGATGAAGAAATGAAAATATCATATGATGTAATTATACCCCCCGCAAACGAAGTTTAGGGGGGGTATATTGGAATCAGCTTGTCTGTCTGTCTGTCTGTCTGTCCGTCTGTCTGTCTGTCTGTAGACGAGATTTTGTCCGGACCATTTCTTGGAAACTGTTGCAAGGATTTGTCTGAAAATTTGTACACTTATTATTCGCCACATGAAGGTGTGCACCTGGTATTTTCATCATGATTGGATAATTATTTTGCATTTTACAGGTGTTTTTTTTCATTTTTATTGTGTGGTTTTGTCTGGATCTGTTCTCAGAGACTATTGCAAAGATTTGTATGAAAATTTGTACACTTATTATTTACCATATGAAGATGTGCACCTGGTATTTTCAACATTATTTGATAATTTTTCTGCATTTTACAGTTTTTCATTTTTATTGACTTAGTCATTTCAGGTTCATGTCGAAGGTTTGAGACATAGAATCTAGAACATCTGTACAAAAATGTGAACTACAGCTTAAAACAACTCATTGGAACTAAAATTAAAAATATCACAAAGTATTGAAAACAGTTTTTACATTACACAGCAGATAGTGTAAATCCATTTGTCCCTTGGGAGTAATGAGTGGACATGCATCCAGTTAAAGATTAATTAATGAGTTCAGTGTGGGAAGCTGTTAGGGCATCTCGGATCAAGCAGGTCTTATCTATATCTCCTGGGAATTGGGCAGAAAGAAATAAAGATCTCTGTTGTCTAAGTCTCTTAATTGTAATTTATGTCTGTCAAAATGCATAGTTACTGGAACCAGCCTTTTATTTTTAAAATGAGTTTGATATAAAGGTATTAAGATCAATTTGATTTTGTATAATTAATTATGATAATTTTTTTTTTAACAATCAATTTGCAGAGTGTCATGTCTCACAAAGATGACAGATAGTTGCAAACTATTTTTTCAATGTAATAAAAAACACTGCAGGGTTCGACACTTACGTTAGTCCGTTAGTCTCAGACTAATACATTTTCATTCGGACTAATAAAATATGTGGCTAATTAGTACGAACGGACCAATAAAAAATTCTGAAAAACAATATGAATAAATTACCGATGTCCGATTTTCAACAACTTTTACTGGGATACCCCGCGTGTATTTTTAGATTTCTAGCTTTGGCGGGTAGTAACGCAATGCCGGGTCAATTCAGCGCTTAATTTTTTGACTGATCAATATGAAGTACAAGGTTTTAGTGATCATGATTTAGTATGACACTTTTAAGAAAGATGTTGGACGTTTTGGATGTAATGTAAAGATAAAAAAAAAAAAAAACGAGATCGGGAATACGATCGTACTTACTGATTGCGAGATTTCATGAATCTGTGGAATAATATATTTCACGTAAATACTTTGTTTCTTTCAAAAAATAATACGTATATTAATTGTCATGTTAAATTAATGTTAAAAAACATTGATGTTTCTTTTTTTTTGACAGACTAATAAAACCGTGTGCGGACTAGTAAAAGTAATGAAGCACTAGTCCGGCTGGACTAAAGCCTTAAAAAGTTAGTGTCGAACCCTGCACTGTAATTATTAGTATTGCTGTTTTATTAGGCTGCACCTTAGTTTCATTCATTAAAAAAAATATAATGAGTAATTAAATTTTCACTCTAAATGTTTGAGCAAATTGTGAACACCTCTCATATCTAGAAAACATTAGTGATTTGGTACCTTCTTTGAAAAACCCAGAGGGGGGTATTTGTCCCTTTTGGACAGTTCTAGTTTCGGTTATTTTTATTTCTCCTTCCATGCATTGGGTACAGTATACAGAGTTGAAGTATTTTGCATTCTTCATGTTCTTTGGTCTGTGTAATTTGCTATTTTGTGATCACTGATGGGTAGAAAATGCATGAAGTTTAATAAAAATTTTATTATTTCAATGGTTGAAATGCTGTACAACACAAGTTAGATAATTTTCTGGTGATTGAATTTTTGTACAACTTATCTTTTTTTTTTTTTGAAAGATTTACATATGTCAGCCTATTACATATGATTAAATTATAAACTGCAATTACCCAACATTTATAAAAAAAAAAAATAATATAAACTTGTCAAAGTCAAAGTACTAGGTCAAAGTCTCAAATATGTAATTGACCTGAATATACATGTTTGTACATGTTTATTGAAGTGGTTTTGAACTTGCCACATTTTAGCTCACCTGGGTCAAAGTCTCAAGCAAGATTTTCTGAAAAAGATCGAAGGTTGACAGACTGTCCAACGTCTTTTTGTTTAGTGACATTTGTAAACTTTTCACATTCAACTTCTTCTCAAGAACCATGGGTACAATTTCAACCAGATTTTTGTCTGGTTTGTTTAGACTCCTTAAGGGTAGGGGGGCCACAATGGTTGATCAGAGTTTTATATAGGGATATACTTTGTATAGGAAAAAACTTTTAAAAACTATCTTCTCAAGAAAAACAAGGCCATGATAAATCATTTTATATGAAAGCATGACCTTAGGTAGTTCAGATTTAAATTTGTTCAAATCATAACCCCCAGAGTAGGGTGGGACCACAGTGGGCAATTAAAAATTTACATATAGGATATATGATTTTTTTTTTATTTCTCAGGAACTGCAAAGCTTTAGCAATAAAAAGTCATATTTATATGGAAGCATCTTCAAATAATGTAGATTTAAGGGTAGGGTGGGCCCACGATATGTGATCAGAGTTTTACATTGATATATATAATTATGTAGAAAAAAATCTAATTATGGAGAAGACCAGGGCTTTAGAAACTCCTGTGAGCGATGTGGCCATGGGCCTCTTGTTCTTTTATGACTAGTTATTTGAAACTCAATATCTCAAATGCCTGAATGTAATTTTTCTTAATCGGAAATTACAATTTTTTGGGTTTTTTTTTTTTAACTCATCATGTTTAATTACATTTTTACTTATTACATGTAATTTTATTTATATATTATTACAAAAATATTTTTACTTATGAAAATATTTCTAAATACTTCAGGTGTTCCATAAATATTTTGAGACAAATGAGTGATATATTTTCTTCTTTTTTGTATTTAGAAATGTTGCAAGAAAATACCAGAATATGATAATTATGGGAGAAAATTTACAAATCTAGAGGCATTTGCTCAGCACAAACATGACAAAGAGGCAAGATATTGTACTATTTTATGTCGTAAGCCAGAGAACAGGCCAAAAATGAACGCAGATATGATGATGGAGCAGAACAAAAAAGGAAGTAGAATGATATTAGATGCAGCACATCCAGGTTTAAGTCATAAAAAGTCTGTGGAGGAGGTAAATAAGTCCTACGATTGTGTGGATTGTGGAAAACCCTACAAGAAAAAATCTTTATATGAGTTGCAGCAGGAACAGTCACACAGCACTGTAAAAGCACAAACATGTAAATGTGATTTCTGTGACAAAGCTTTTGTGTTTTCCTCTTCGCTGAGATCACATAGACTTTCTCAGACAAGAACTAAACCATTAGCATGTGATAAGTGTCTGAAAACAATCAATTTAAAATATCTTCTTAAAAAATATCAGAAGAAAACGGAGCCTGGAAGGTTTCCATGTGATGTTTGTGGAAAGAAATTGAAGTGGAAGTGGAAGCTCGAAGATCATATGAGACGACACACTGGTGAAAAGGCATTCCTCTGTGAGATTTGTGGGAGGAGGTTTTATAGTCCATTGGCTAGAAGTCGACATATGGATACCCATAATTCCTCAAGAAAAAGACTGTGTGAGATTTGTGGGAAATTCATCAAGTGGGGGTCTTCTTTGCGACTTCATCAGATAAGGCACAGAATCCATGATGATTTAAGCATGAAAGAAAGATCAGATATTGCAGACATTCCCTATATTTGTGAAATTTGTGGCAAAGGCTTTTGTAAAAAGTTGCCATATGAAAAGCACAAATTAAACAAGCATGAGCGTAAAAACAAAGTAAAGAAAACTCCAGATGGTCGAATGATATGTGACACATGTGGAAAATCTTTCTCCAGTAGGTCGTCTTATAGGTGTCATATTGCCCTCCATAAAGGAAAGATGCAGGTAGCTTGTGAAAAGTGTAACATGGTAATGCATAAAAAGTCCTTGAAGAGGCACATGTTGAAAATGCACAAAAGCACTTAATACCAGTCTAGATGCTTTTCATAAATAAAATCAAACAATATTAACAAGTATGAAAAAATTTACTGTATCTCTTTCAGAAAATGATATTCGAAATTTATTAAAAGATAAAAAAAAAAATTGCCATCATACTTTTCATGTGTTGAATGCTAATATACATGCATGTATGAAAATTTTGTTTCAGTCATAAATTTCACTTAAAAGTTTTTGTGGTCTACAGTGTAATCTTTTTACTATAGATCTGTTCATGCTTAATAAAACTTTTTAAAATCTGCTATTACTGGATCATGTAAATTTGATTTTCAATTAGTTTTAACAGATCAGTACTATTTTTTTTGCTGCTGTGCATAAATTTATTGATGAAATTTGTGGAGGTTAGCAACTGCTTTTTCTACTATTATAAATCCACTTGTATTTCTTGGAAAAATTACATTTTTATGAATTGTTTTGCATGACATATTTTAATATCTAAGAACCCTGATTTTGTAATTTAAAACAGTGTGAGCCTGAAGTCTAAAACAAAATAAATTGAAATGTATACAGTTTATTTCTTGATTATTTTTCATAGGCCAAGGTACATTTTATTTAATTGAATACTTCAAATGCATGTATTACTGTTTCCCTCCATTTGAGGACAGATGATACAAACTTTTACCAGAAATCTTGAAAATAACAACTTAAATCTTGATTATGTAAGTAATATAAATATTAAGTTTAACCGCAGAGATTTTAATTTTTCATTCAAAGTTTCATAAAAATGATCGAGATTTAAATTGACAAAAAGTTGTATAGAATAATAAAGATGATTGCAGAAAGATAGAATTTTGAACATCATAGAAAGTTTACAGTTTCTTAATATTTTAGAATTTTATTATTTGCATGATCTACAACCAAAATAAGTCCAAAAGTATATACCAATCCCGCCATCATTTTTTTTTTTTTTTTTTTTTTTTTTTTTTTTTTTGTATTATCTGTCCTTAAGTAAACAACAGTTATATCTGGTCATCAATATTTTGTTTGTAGTGGTTGAAAAATTTTTTCTGGAGGTAACTTCCAGCTACTCTAATTCTGAAAATGAAATATATGAGCTCAATATTTACTTCTTTATAACAATATAATTTTCTCAATGTTAAAAAAAAAATAGTTTAATTATAGAGTGTTCTTATTTTCAAAATGTTCCCTTCGGGGTTTTTTTCCAGTGAAATAAAATGTGTTCAAAATAAAAACATTTGTTACTGGTTATTATTTTATTAACAGTTAAAGTTTGTTAGCTGGAATACTTGGGATTATAAAATTAATGTCAAAGTTACATGTAGCTGGCATTCCAAACTACTTATTCTTTATGATTTTTACACAGACAATTGGGGGATGGAACCCCCCCCCCCCCACCCTTTTCATTTTTTTTCTTTTTAAATCTGGAATCGAAACACCAGCTAGCTTTTTACTATTTTTGTATTCTAGACTAGTATACACTACATATTATTGATAAAATGTAACCCTTTTGTCTCTGTAAGCTGTCATAAACTGGAATTAGTTTATCTGTTAAATATACAAGGACGGTGAAGAAGATCTTCCAAAAAAAAAAAAAATAATAATGCATTAAAAAAATAATGCCAACTCTCAACCCCCTCAAGAACCCCTGATCCACGGGCCACAAATTTCACAATTTTGGATGTGGCACTCTTGATCATAAATATCCATGTACCTACTTCATCTGATAGAAACCCAGGAGCAGAGAAGTAGATTTTTAAAGAACTATATTACATTTTCACTCTATAATCAATAGAGCCTGGCCTTACGGGTAACACCAGAACCCCAGACCCAGGGGCCATGAAATTCACATGTTTAGAAGAGGCACCCTAGATTATTATAACTATGCAACTGGTTTGTTTGCTAATAACATAACCAGGGGCAGAGAAGAAGATTATCAAAGAAATAATGCACTTTCACTATATAATTCAATAGACCCCTCCTCCTTTTCTGCAGAACCCCTGACCCAGGGGCCACAAATTTCACAATTTTGGAAGAGGCACCCTTGATCATGACCATCATAACCATGTACCTAGTACAAACTGTGATTTTACTTACGGTGGGAGAGAGGAATATTGAAGAATTTATGCATTTTCAGTATAGGATCATTAGTGCAACCCCAACTCCAGAATCCCTGACTGTTACTGTGAGAGAATATCACTTTTATTCGATAAATAATTCACAATATTTCACTGTTAAAAATGTAATGTAGAGATAGAGTTTTGTAGATGAATATGGAATTTATTTCTTGAGTCGGACAGGATTTTTTTTTAAATATTTTCACGAGTGCGAAGCAGGGTGAAAATATATAAAAAAAAAATCCTGTCTCACTCGTAAAATAAAGTTCATATTCATCTACAAAACATTGAATTTTCTGTTTATTACATTTTGAATTCTTCGATTTTCCCTTTGACCCTTTCTTTTTGTAACACAGTGTCATAGGCTGTGACGTCATAGTTGAGCGGTTGAGACATCATGTAGCTAGGCGATTGCGAGTTGAAAAATGTTGTGAACATGGATTTTTAAGGACATATTTGGAAAAACCTTGGCAGTATAAATATAAGTCTCTGTCAGGATGGCTCATTAACTCTACCTTATAACAAGCCAGGGATTTTTTAAACAATCTGCGTGAAGGGAAGGAAAAGTTTTGCCGCACTTCTGATACGTGTATTCTCACACTGTGAGAATACCATTTTGATAATCCTTTCACAATGTGTCAGAATATCACTTTTATTCAGTAAATATATATATACCCGGTATATATATATATATGATATATATATATATATATATATATATATATATATATATATATATATATATATATATATATATATATATATATATATATAAAATCATAGAAGAAAATGCACAATTACCCAAATTTCAACACAAGCGCTTTCTGGATTATTTCATAATCCGTCTTCAGGTGTACATAACATTTGAACTGTTTTTCAAAACAGATCAAAGTTTTATAATGTGATTTTATTTTAATATATAAATATCTAGAATTTTTTTTCCAGAAATTCCAAAGCCATGATTTATAATATTGATATGCAAGAAACCTCAGTTATGGCGATGATTCAATTTTATAGCAGAGTTTTAAAGCTGACTCGGGTGAGTGATGTGGCCCATGGGCCTATTGTTTATCATCGGGTTCAAGATACCATGCTGTAATATGAGACAAATGATTGACTGGACGAAAATTTGATCGAGATTTGCAAGCGCTCTACCGAGTCTATGTTGACACTTTCCTTTTTAGAGTATTTGTAATTAGGTATGTACTTACAGAGATGTAAACCTTAATTTTTTAAAATTCCATCATGCTGTAATTTAAACAAAAAATATTTGTTCGATCTGAGTACTCGGCTTGCTCCCGGAATGTACAGCTGCTGGTAAACTATATTTGTTAATATTTTAAAAACCCCATATTTCAGGAATAGACATTAACGTTTAGATTCACTTGCCCAAAGGGCAAGTAATCTCAAACTTTTACGTGCCCGACTGCAAAACTTGGTTGCCCAAATTAAACTTTAAGAAAGATGAAAGTAACTTAAAGTTAAATCATTGCTGAAAATGTCCATATGATAAGAAAAAAGTATGACCATATGCACTAACTGTCTATTTGACAGTTTAAAGTACATAAAAAAAACAATTCAATGCTATGTTTGTACATGAAATTCACTAGCTGTCCTTGTCAATCTTACCTGGAAACATGCTCTGCCGTCCAGCAAAAACCCAACCCCCTCTTGTTTTCTTTACTAATAAAATTCATACTTCTAAAAATTATTTTCGGGAAGATCCTTTCCTGAATTTTCATTTTCGAGATGACTAAAGGTAGTCACTTTCTACGAAGCATACGTCTTGATCAGGATCGATATCTTGTGTTACTGAAATTCTTTGAGTAAGTAAGTAATCTTAATATTTCCTAATAAGTAGGCAACGGAGTTGTTAGACATAGAGCTATTACCATGAAAGAAAATAATAACAAACCGACTTTTAAATGAAATTATAATATAGAATGCTACTGAGGGATTCCGAATGCAAAAACAATGTCAGGCACCTACCTGGTGGAAATAAATTTTTTAATTAATTGTTTTTTTTTAATATATAACCTAATGTAATCTTCATTTCTATCAGAAAAATTCACTTGCCTGATGGGACATGTATGTTGACAGTTTCACTTGCCCGAACTGAGATTTTACTTGCCCCGGGTAATCGGACAACTGTTAATGTCGATCCCTGTGTTTGTGTATTTATTATGTTTATATATTTAAGAAATAAACAACAATGTTAAAAAGTTCTCTGGGAAATGAACTTGGTTGGTCACATGATCAAATCCTTTGAAGCCGGAAGGGCTTCTCAGAAGATTTGATCATGTACCAACCAAGTTCATTTCCCAGTGAACATTTTAACGTTGTTTATTACTTTTATTTACATTTGAGACGAATATTCTGAATAGAACTGAATTTATTACACGAACGGCCCGCTGTATTGCTATGTCGTGATGCGCAATGACCTAGAAGCTGTTTGGTCTTGAGAGTTCGCCTCGCTCCAACATTTGAATACTTACATTGATGTTCAGCAGTCCAGTCCAGGAAATATCTGTTTGTAATGAAAAAACAATGATCGCTACTGAGAAAAATCTTACTATTATTGTATGAGTTCTTTATATATGAAGTCAAAAGCGGTGGTATCGTCTTCAGTTTACATACCTTTAAAGGAATTTCGGGTTAAAAAGGTAAGCGTGATTTTAGGCTAGGCCTAATTAAAAACATTCTTCACACCGAAGAAAGATCTAATGATCATTTGCTGCACGAAAAAAACATATATGTTTCGATAATTTTATCTTTTTCATCGTTTTAACGGCTTAGAAATTCTGACACCAGTTTCACCATGACAGAAATATGTAGACAAGATATCATCTCGCTCTGTGATTCGGTCACGCTATGACCTCTGACCCCCTAATAAGTTCATACAGAATTGAACATATTTTCTTTTCAATAGGTTCATCTAATAAGAAAAATATTTGCAAATGTAAATAGTTATTAATATAAATCTTTTA